AACTTTCACAGAAGTGGCTGAACTATTTTCAGAAGTGGTTGTACCAGTGTACATTCCCCCCAGCATTTTATGAGAGTTTCAGTTACTGTACATCTTCACCGACGTTTGGATGGTCAGTCCTTATAATTTTAGACACCCATATAGATGTGTAGTGATAACTCAATATGATTTTAATTTACGTTTCCCTGATTACTTAATACTGAGCATCTTTTCATGTGTTTATTTTTTCTATGTCTGTTTTGGTGATTGTCTTCAAATCTTACCCATTTTTTATTGAGATCTTTTATTTAGTTTTGAGAGTTCTTTATTTTGAATACAAATCAGAATTATGATTTATAAGGATTTTCTCACAGTGAAAAGGCTTGTCTTTTCGTTCTCTTAACAGTGTAATACAAAGAGCAGAAGTTCTTAATTTTGATGAAGTCCAACTTTTCCATGTTTTTCTTTTACAGATCATGCTTGTATTGTTCTGTGTAAAATATTTTTGTATAACCTAAGGTCATAAAGATTTTCTTCGATTTTTTTTTTTTCCTAAAAGTTGTACAGTTTTATACCTAGCTCTAGGATCCATTTAGTGTATGAGTTTTTGTATAGGTTTAAGATATGGATGAATGGGGGGTTGCATTCTTCCATCAAATTTGGAAACATTTTGACTATTACCTCTTCAGATTATTTTTCTATTCCCATTTCTTCTGTCCTTTGGTGACATCATTTCCACATATATTAGGCTCCTTGAAGTTGTCCCATTGCTCAGTGATACTCTTCATTTATTTCAATCTTGTTACTTCCCTGTTTTTTATCTTAGTTTCTATTGCTATATCTTCAAGATTATTTTCTTCACTTCTGGCGTACTTTTTCCATCTTAGATATTTTGGTTTTCATCTCTAGAAATATAAATTGAGTTTTGTTTTGTTTTTTATATCTGCCATGTTTCTACCTAATATGCCTAGTCCTTCCTCTAGCTTCTTGAACCTAAGAATACAATTTGTAAAGTTAAAGTAACTATTTTAATGTCCTTCTCTACTAATTTGATCATGTTTATCATTTCTGGATCACTCTTAATTGATTTTTCTCCACATTTTAAATTATATTTTCCTGCTTATTTGCATGCCTGGTTATTTTTGATTGGTTGTTAGACATTATGAATTTTACCTTGTTGAATGCTTGATATTTTTGTATTCTTAGAAAATTCTTAAACTTTGTTCTAGGCTACTTAAGTTACTTGGGGCAGTTTGATCATTTCAGATCTTGCTTTTTAAGCTTTGTTAGGTACAGTCAGAGCAAGATTAAGTCTGGGGCATAATCCTTCCAACTACTCAGTGCCTCATGAATTATGAGATTTTTCCACTCACCTTGTTGAGAAAAGAAATTATTCCTGACCCTGTATGACCTGCTGATATTACTTATCATGCTGGTTCTTAACCTGACTTAGAGTAGTTTCCTCATACCCATGCACTGATCAGTATAGTCTCCTGAAGAGAAGAGGGAGTGTCCCTCCCTGGAGGGAGTGTTTTGCAATTCTTGAGTGTGCAGCCCTTTCCTCACTGATTACTCTGTTCTGTACACTGTAGCCACCTTGATCTCCCTGGTTGCCCAGCTCATCTCCTCAACTTGGAGACCACACAGGGTCTACTGAGATCCTTCCTTCCTGAGTTGCAACCTGGAAACTTTCTCAGTGCAGTATCAGGGGCAACTGAATAGTTTATCTTGTTTGTTTCCATTTTTTAGGGATCACTGACTTCATTGCCTGATGTCTTAAAAAATGTTTTGTCAAATTTTGTCCAGTATTTTAGTTGTTTCAAGTTGGAGAGTCCTTTATTGGTTCATCTTAGTCAGAAGCAGGAGTCATTTTATATTTATTTTAATTTAATTTTTAAATAGGTGAATCATTTCCATGGTTCAAAATTCAAGAAATATAAATAGGTATTCAATTGAAATTTCTTTCATAATCCACTACAAACCTAGTGCTCACTCCCTATAAGAAACCATTCTGTTAATTTATCTTTCTAGAGTTTCTTTATTTATATGCAAGTAAATAAAAATTATATATTATTATTCCTGTTCCACCTCCTTTTCAGTGAAAAGCTTACATAGTATATACAGTACTTGGTTTTTTCACTTAAATGTGTATCTTTAGGATCTTTCCTTATTGGTACATAGACTGCTTCTTGACACATTATCACCACCTCCCCACCCTTTTTAACAGCTGCATAGTATTATATTATATAGACTTATCATCATTTATTTAACCAGTTCCGTATAATTAAACTATTAGGTTGCTTCCAATCTTTTGCTACTAGGACTAATTTAGTAGTTAATAGTCTTGTACATAAATCATTTTGCATATGTCTGAGCAACATTGCTGTTTAATACATTCCCAGAGGTAGATTAGTAGGTGAGAAGATGTTTGCACTTGTAATTTTGATAGCTATTGTCAAATTGTTCTCCCAAGGGATTGAACCAGATCCTCCACTAGCCTGTTAGGAAAATGCCTATTGGCTCATAGTCCCATCTATAGAATGTTATCAAATATTTGGATTTCTGCTAATGCGGTGGGAAGAAAATATTGTTATAATATAGTTTTAATTCGTATTTCTATTCTGAGTGATGTTGAATATCTCTTGTGTTTAAAAGCCATTTGTACTTCCCATTCTCTGTTCCATCTACTTTAGATTGTCGGTCAGTTTTTTCTTTTAGTGATAAGAATAGGAGATTGAAATACTTTAGTAGGTTGTGTTTAATAACTTCTTAATACTGAATGAACCATTAACATCCACAGTCTATTAGTAAAACACTTTACAATATACTTAGTAAAATAAAATATAATTATACTTAATCTGGTCAAATGTCTAATGACTTTAAGGTCATTACAAAATCTTTAGATCAAAGGTTGGGTTAATTGATTTTTCAGACAGAATTTTAAACGTCAAAGTAAAACCAGGCTAATCTGATTTTTGAGCATGAGAGTAATGTTCTAAAATTAGTTTAATAAATGAAATAGTAAGAATTGTTCCCTCTAGAAATGTTTTACATTTGAGAGATGTGTTTTGTTCCGCAAATAATGACATTTACAGAACAATTTGATGGGAATAGGGGAATAATTATTTGAAATTAAAACTATCTCAGAAAATCTCAATTTATGGATACAAAATGTATGTTGTCCCACAGATTAGAATGATAAACACATTCCTGGTTAGATGACAGGATGCTTTTACTATTCATTTGCTGCAGCTTTCTTGAGAAGTAAGGAGTATCCAAGTATTTTTTTTTTTTAACTTTGCATACCCATCCTTTTTCTCTGCCTCATCTCAAACACCTCTACCTTTTTGCTTCTATCATTTATAATTTTCAGTTGTTATACCCTATGGACAATTAATGAGGGGAGAGTAGTTACTTTACCAAATGAGTGAAGTGATAAAATGGGCCAGTAGTTTGTTTATATTTTGTTAATTTATTATCAGTTTAAAAGTCTGGCTTTATTTATGCAATGAAAAATATATTTTTAGAGTTGCATCAGTATGGAGAGGCATCCAGCACACATCCGTCAGGTATGATGTCATTCCAGGACATTCTCTGGTATTCCGTTTTTCTGTCTTATCAGCCAACTAAATTTACCTTGAATAATAATTTGGGTTTTCTTTTTCCATTGCCAAAACTTTGAGCTGCATGCCATTTTCAAGTTAGCCAGTTGTCACATTTTAGCAATCTTAATATTGTTTGTATGCTTGCTTTTTAGGTATTTCTAAAATTGCATATCAAAAAAATTTGGGCTTAGTGATTTTTTAAATAATAGCCTTTCCAAAGTTATTGAAAACATCCTGAATGCTTTCTACCAAAATCATCTAATTGCAAATAACTAAAATTTTGTCACATGTTCCCAAACTTAGTTACTTTTAAATTATTTTAATATGCATCCATCACATTACATTTTATCACACCAATGATATTATGTATCTGCTTGTATTACTTGAATATCTTCTTTGGTTACATTTATAGAAGTATGATAACAATGTTATTTTGACTAATTTTGTGCTTTTCTGCTTGTTAAAGTTTACCTGCTGATCAATGCCAAGTCAATTCTTCAGTAGATAAAATTTGAGTTTTTATAAATATGCATGAAAAAACTTTTAAGAAAGTAATCTGAACTTGCCATCAAAAACTGAAAATGCTTAACTTATTAGGATTTACATTAAAGTGAATAAGCAAAATATTCCAGTTATTGGAGATAACTAATAGTGGTAATTGGAATACATTTATTAATAAAACATATTTAAAAGAAATTTGTGTAGTTCAGTGAATTTAAATTGAGAAATAGTTTCAAGGCCTTTTCAGTGTTTTTCTTACAGTTAATTTAATGTTAATTATTTAAGTCAGAGCAAGATGATTTCAGAAAAGTGTTTTCCACACAAGTTTTGGTCAGTGTAAATCTGTGTGATCATAAAACATATATTACCAGTGATGAAAATTGGGTTTTTATTTTTTATTTATTTTTTTAGTTACTAAATATATTTCAGATCTGACTTCAACATGAACTTTCATTGTTTAATTTTGGTTTCTGGGCTCTTTCAAAAAGTACCCCCCCCCCAAAAAAAGTCCTATTATATCTGAAATATATGCCTTCAATCAGCTGCATATATTGTTTCTGGGTGTTAATCAGAAAGTGGCATTTAATTGAATAAAAATTATGCAGCATTAGTTAGAAAATCATGTGAAAAGATGGGGGAAAGTATAAGAATGATGGAGTAAAATGATTGTCAAACTGTTGGTTTAAGATTAGATATTAAAATAAAAACAAAATTTTAATTGTACTAATATTTATTTTTTGATGCCAAATTATTAATGTGTAATAACTGATTTTTATTTGAGTGGGAAAATGTGCTTAGTTGAAGTACTAAATAAATTGTCAATTACAATTAAATCACAGTGATTTGAAAAAGATTTCAAAAATCTAGTGACAAATGATACATCTATACTACTTTAAATTGTACTATGTGTTTTAGGTGTTTGTGAAATGTCATTTTGATTATAATCCATACAATGATAACCTGATACCCTGCAAAGAAGCAGGATTGAAGTTTTCAAAAGGAGAAATTCTTCAAATTGTGAACAGAGAAGATCCAAACTGGTGGCAGGTTAGTATGCTTCTCATAATTTCCTCAACTGCTTTTTTATTTTCAATCTTAGATCTGGCCAATATCTGAATATTCAGGAAGATGGTATTAGCATTTGTTCCAATGATTTTTCGTGCATGAACAGCTCCTGCTTCATGGCTGCTAATTTTGTGGACAGGAGATCAAATTGAGAGGGAATTTGGGAGTAGCTGTTAATAAATGCAGAATTAACTAGCCTGTGGAGATATTCCATTGGTTTAGGGATTAGAACAGTTGGTTCTTCCACATGAGTGACTGTAGTACAATATGGTGTTGGGCAAGAACAACTCACTTGGGGTCATCCCTTCTCAGTGTTGTTGTTTAACTAGAAGTCTTTTACTGTGTGTGTAGTAGTGTCTTTCTCTCTTGTCTCCTCGCCCTCTATTTACATTCATGGCAAATAAAACATAATTTCATAAGCTCTTCAATCTGTTTACCTACCTCTCCTCAGTTACTGAGAAATGAAGGTTTGCTTTATGATTAGTGTTAGTTGGTCTTGGATTGAAATCTGTGTATATGGAAAGGGATGTGTGTTATCACCATATTTTCCCCCACTTCATTTTCTAAAGATCTCTGTGATCGTCTTCTTTTTCCTTTCCCCTAATACAGCCTTCAGAACACTCTAGCAGCAGAATTAAGTCTGATTTTGTCATTGTTTACACTGTCTAATACCCACAGTATTCAGAGCTGGAGAAAGTGACAAATCGGAAAGTCTAAAATCCCTTAAACCATCAGAAGAAGAGTCTCATTAAAAAGCAAGGTGTATGGTGGGGGGTGGGAGGGATGGGGTGGCTGGGTGATAGACATTGGGGAGAGTATGTGCTATGGTGAGTGCTGTGAATTGTGCAAGACTGTTGAATCACAGATTTGTACCTCTGAAACAAATAATACATTATATGTTAAAAAAAAAAAAAAGAAGAAGAAGAAGATAGCAGGAGAGGAATAAATGAAGGGGGGAATCGGAGGGGGAGATGAACCATGAGAGATGATGGACTCTGAAAAACAAACTGAAGGTTCTAGAGGGGAGGGGGTGGGAGGATGGGTTAGCCTGGTGATGGGTATTAAAGAGGGCACGTTCTGCATGGAGCACTGGGTGTTATACACAGACAATGAATCATGGAACACTACATCAAAAACTTAATGATGTAATGTATGGTGATTAACATAACAATAAAAATTAAAAAAAAAAAACAAGGTGTATGAGGAAAGGACCCAGGACCTAGCACTAAACTCTAAATTAAATGGAGATATTAGTAACTCAGATTAGCTCTCTTAAGTTATATTGACTTCTAAGGGGGGAATGAATAACAAGGATAAGAATAGTCCTGCTAATGTGTCCTTAAATTTAAATTAAGACATTATTATGCACAAGTACATTATGCAGTGAGAGAACTAAAACATAGGTAAATTAAAAAGAATCCATGGTCTCTAGACGTTTCCACTGAACTTCCTAGAACTCTCATCAAAAAACTCTGTGGCTGTTTCCTTCATTGAACTTTTCCAGGAAAAATTTTTTTTTACCCCTTTCTGTGAATGTCGTCTGCTCATCCTGTCACCATTATTTCAGTCTCCTCCTGCATTTGGTGATGTTACTTTATCTGTTTTTAGGATTTTAATGGCTAAAAATGATACCAGATTTTTCAGTGCTAGCTGTAAATATAAAAAACCCTAACTTTGTGGGATAAGCCACTAGCAGCCTTTTCTTTAGCCACTATTTTGAAATAGCACTTTTTTGGATTTCAAAACTTAGTTTCTTGACACTAGATGTAGTTATACCTATTTTAAACTTAGGATATTCAGATTCTGTCTCTCTAGTAGGATTAAGGTTGATAGTAAATACCTTACTAAGGGTGCTAATGAAATGTCCTTTAACACATGAAATAGTATTTATCCTTTCTGTTCTTTGACTTAGCATTATAAATAAAAAGTTGTAGTAATTTAAAGATCCTATATACCTTTGCGTTTTGGTCCCAAAATTTTGATACCAGATGGCAGATTGATTAGGTGCCAATTGATTCCTTAGTGCTAAAGTGTTTAAATATCTTAACTGACAGCACCATGAATTGAAATCTCAAGGTCAGTTTTGAAGAGCAAATGTGATATATTTCTACTGACTATTGCTATTGTCCTACTTATTAAGATAAGGTCTCAAATTTTGATCACTGAGATATATAATTCATCAATTTGATTCTAGGCTAGCCATGTAAAAGAGGGAGGAAGCGCTGGTCTCATTCCAAGCCAGTTCCTGGAAGAGAAGAGAAAGGCATTTGTTAGAAGAGACTGGGACAATTCAGGTGATGAGCTCAACACAATGTGTAACAAGTAGTCCTTTGTGGTCACCTTTCTTTACCTCTTTCATCTGAATCAGGAAATGAATTTATTTAAACTATATCTAAAATTAATCCATCCCGTCTACTTTGTTGTATCGCTCTCAAAAGTAAACTTTTTGATCCCTGTCTGCCACCTGCTGGTATAGTATCAGAATTTAGTGGCTCAACTCACTTCTGCCCCCTTCTGCTTTGTAGGACACAACACTGGAAAGGTAATTCTCCCACCCCTATAGAATACCACAGGGCAGTTTTTATCATATTCTGACATACTGTTTTAACTTACATTTGTCTTGTCACCCTTCAGGACCTTTTTGTGGAACCATAAGTAGCAAAAAAAAGAAAAAGATGATGTATCTCACAACCAGAAATGCAGGTATGTTTTAAATACTTTTTGAAAAGTCCAAGTGAGGTAGCTTTATATCATTAATTAATGTGGCATAAACTCTAAATATATAATTTTAAATGAAAGTAATTCATATTAATACCCAATTGTAAGGGGCTGTCACTTGAACACGTGGTACAATATAATATGAAGACATTATTTTAATTTTGATATTGTATATACTCATACTGTCACCAGAGGATTTTATTTATGAGTATAGTTTACAATAAAATGATTGGTTAGGATTTATGCTTATATTAATGAAAGAACTATGTTATTAAAAATATTTATTCAGAGAACTTTGATGACAATTTATGTATCATTTCTAAAGAAGTGCCTTTAGGAAGATACTAAAAGAGTTATGATTAAGGACAACTATATTCTACCTTAACATTGTCCATGATACTTTTGGGAAAATAGTACTGGACCAAACAAATCTTAGTCTGTTCTAGAAGGATTCTGTCTTAAATCTTTTAGACTTAAAGAAAGATAAATATGACAGCTACCATAGTTATTCTTTTCAGTTCTAGAGGCTGATAGGCATGAAATGCAGCTCTTTGAGAAGGCCTTCTGAAAGGAATTGACAATTTTAAAGTACTTTCTAGACTTCAGAGCTGCCTCTTACCCTGGTTATAAACTAAATAGCACACTATAAAGGAAATAATATTTAATAATAATAATAAAATAAGGGGAAAATAGACTCTCCTTTAATATTGGTTTAATCTTCTGTGGAGAAATTATGCAAAGAAAGAGTTGCTGTTCAGATAATAACCTAAGGAAGGAGTGTTATTACTGCAGATTTAGAGTTATAACCCTAATAACAGGTAATATACTATTTCAAATCCCCTTTGGCCTTATTATTCATTAAATATATGTCTGTATAGCTTTCTTGCAAAATAGAAAACTTACAATTTTCTCATTGACTAAGATTTAATTTTGGAATGTGTTTTGACTGAAAATAGTTTGGCTCCAACATTTTATACATAAATTCATAATCTTAAAATCTAATTGTCAGTATGTTTGTATGCATTTTATTAATCAAGCTGGTATTTGCTGAGTCAACACACAGGATTTATTCATTTATATTATTGGAAGGGCATACTCATTCTGTGGGACTTATTTAAGCAGCCACACTAGGTATACTACCGTCTTTTATATGTGATACACACTAGTTGGCCGAACAAATTACATAAGGTAATTTGCAGTTTGATTATATATATTAAAGTAATTATTTTTACTGATGAGTTGGTAAGAAAGGTATTAATGGATAGACTATATGATAAAGCACAGGCATTTTCTAGCTTAGACAAATTTTTAAGGGCAAATGGATGGAAGCAGATGTTTAAATCAAGATAAAAAATAGTTTATTGTACTTCACCAAATTTATAAAAACAAATCCGATAGTGAGTACAATTCAAGTGGTATTTACCTGTCAGACAACCAAGCCCTTATTGAACAGAATTGCAGAGGTTTTTCATCCATCTAAAAGATAACTGAATATGACGACTTTCCATTTCTTTTTACATTTAGAATTTGATCGTCATGAAATCCAAATATACGAGGAGGTAGCCAAAATGCCTCCCTTCCAGAGAAAAACATTGGTATTGATAGGAGCTCAAGGTGTGGGACGAAGAAGCTTGAAAAACAGGTTCATAGTGTTGAATCCCACTAGATTTGGAACTACAGTGCCATGTAAGTTTTCTCTCTTTGCTTTTTAAACGGCATCAAAGAGTAGGGTGAGGCAGATTATTATTTTTGTTCCCAAATAATTTTTGATTATGCCAGTGGAAATGAACAAGCAGAAGATACTGAAGAACTCAGTGACTCTACAGCTGTCTTGAAATAGTGCTGTAGCCCTGTTGGCTTGCTGCCCGGTGGCAGTTGCTTCTCCAAACTCTAGTCCAGAAATGTTTGTTAAATGCAAGTGTTATGGGGCGCCTGGGTGGCTCAGTCAGTTAAGCAGCTGGCTTCGGCTTAGGTCGTGATCCCAGGGTTCTGGGATCGAGTCCCGCATCGGGCTCCCTGCTCAGGGGAGAGCCTGCTTCTCCCTCTCCTTCTGCCTGCTGCTCTGCCTACTTGTGCTCTCTCTCTCTCTCTGCCAAATAAATAAAATCATTTTTTAAAAATAAATAAATAAATAAATGCAAGTGTTAGGGGTTGTGGCAAAATCAGCATTAACTTTGTATTTTTTTGTACAACTGTTCATCTGAAGAGTGTTTTTTTGTTTGTTTGTTTACCCATTTTCGTGTAAAGAAAAGAGGGAGACCTGCTGGATCCTAAGACCCCTCAGTGTGGCCATCCCTTTGTGAATTTTGTACAGGTCATTAACCTGATTTTTGATAGCGCATCAACAGCAATTCATCTTCCTGAGCAGGCAGCATTAATCAGTCACAAAGGTTGACACACAAAATAAAAATAATACTGATGAGAAGTATAACCATTAAATTAACCAAGCATTCATTTTATGATCTTTGCATTCTTTCCCTATTTGCATATTTATATGGAAAATTAAATAATGATGTCAGAAGTGTGCTTGATAAGAATGGAATCACATTAAGGAGTTAGATGATGTCATAGACTTGTTAAAAGGACTAATATACATAGCCAGCATTGTCTTTATAACCCCTTTCTGTGCTTCTACTGCTGACCAAGCCCCCTTTTGATTAACAGTATTTCTTTAGGTATATTAATGCCATTAAGCTGTTCTGAGTTAATTCTTAGCCTAATGTCATTCCATCTCTTCTAGATGAATTTTAGAGTTTCTCAAAACATCTAGTATGTTTTGAGGTTTAATTTTCAGTGAGTAATCTCATTGCTGAAATTTTTATGGATTGGTTGGGAGAGTAGTAACCATGTGCTATTTGTAATCCCTTCAGGGTAAGGCCTTGGATTCCATTTTAGGCACTGTAAGTCACTAAATTCAGACAAATACTGGTTAAATAGCTAAGAAAATCTCACTGTGACCTAAGTATTTTAAAGTATTTTGTTTCTTATTTTTATCAAGTTAATACATGTACAGTACTTTAATCAAGTAGTTCTTATAGATATGTAATAGAAAAATTAACTGCCAGGGCGCCTGGGTGGCTCAGTCGTTAAGCGTCTGTCTTCGGCTCAGGTCATGATCCCAGGGTCCTGGGATCAAGCCCCGCATCGGGCTCCCTGCTCAGCAGGAAGCCTGCTTCTCCCTCTCCCACTCCCTCTGCTTGTGTTCCCTCTCTCGCTGTATCTCTCTGTGTCAAATAAATAAATTTAAAAAAGAAAAAGAAAAATTAACTGCTTATATTGCCGTACCCCACCTTTGGCCTACTTACCAGAAACAGTTGCTTTTCATGTTTCTTGCTCTTTATTTTGGTGGTCTTCCATATTTCTTATTAATGTCATCATTCTGCAGTTTCTTGCTTTATCCAGTGTAAGCTTATCTGTTGACTTCCTGACTCTCTTCCCAATATAAAAATAAGTCTAGTTTCAGTTCATTGAATTTTACTTTCTTGAACAGCTTCTCCCTCTCCTTCCATCTAGCAATTGATGGAGTTCCTTTTTTCTTCCTGTCCTTACCTTAATTTTATATGTGTATGTGTATAATTTTATTTTAAGCCAAAGACTCATCCAGTAAGTTGTGTTTATTTTCTTGGAGACCTCTGTCTCAGAACCATAGATCTTCCTGCTTCAGTGAGGACAAGACGCTCTCCATTCTGGCTGCCCCACTGTTAACATGGGAGTGTTTCCCTTTGTTGTTCTCCTGGGTTGACAGCAACCTTGTTATGCTGGAAATAGCCTCTTGTAACATCACAAGAAATGGTGTATGAGATATAATTTATTTATCTTTGTATTTGAAGATGTATATTTTCCGTCTTATATTTGATTGCTTGACCAAGAATAGAAATTCGAGATTGTAAAACTCAAAAGATGTTACTCTTGAATCCAGTTCTGTTGAGGCAAGTGCCTTTGTAATCTTTGTTCTTTCATACGTGACCTTATTTTTCTTTCACAGAAATTCAGTGTCTTTTGTTTGTTTCATTTTGTTGTTTTTCAGTATTTTGAAATTTAATAATGATGTGCCTTCATGTACATCTTTTTTTATTCATTGTGCTGATGATCAGTGGGCTCTTGAGACTAGAAATTCATTGTCCCTCAATTCTGGAAAATTATTATTTCTTGGATGATTTCTCCATGTTCTCTCTGTTCACTTTTTCTACAATCTCTGTTGGCTGGATGTTGAGCATCCTGGATTCATCTTCTCAATGTCTCTCTCTCTCTCTCTTTTAATCATGTTGTCTATCCCTTTATCTTTTTATTCTACTCTTTAAAAGATTACATTGAGTTCTTTATTTTCTCTTCCATCAATGCTTTACCATGAGTAATCTTATTTTCCAGTTTTTTTCTGTTTGTTTATGGGGGCTATATTTTATGTATCTCCAAGAATAGTAAATAGTGTTTTGGGTTTTTTTTCAGTTTTATCTATAGCTGAATTACCTCTGCTTTCCTCCGGGTTACTTTTTCTGTTTATGGTATGTTTGTGTTTTCCCTTTTATGCTAGAGGATTTTTTTCTTTTATGTACTGATGCTTGGCTGTACATCCCTACTTAAGTGTTAAAACTGGTTGGAAGCCCTGTGTACTTGAGCAGGTCTTGGCAACTGGCTGAGCTTTATTTTATGAGATGGCAAGGAGACAGCTGTTTTGTTGGAGGAGCCAAAAAGTTGGCATAAAATATCTTTGGGGGGAGCCGTTAAATTTTCCAGAGAAGAGTTTTCAGATATCCCCCCTGCTGAGTCTGTTCTCTAACAAGATGAAGAGGGAGAAGGTATAGATTAACTTGCTCCGTATGCATAATTATACCCCCACCTCCAGTTTTTAGCTCCTTGCTTCAAAGTCCTAAATCTCTTCAGTGTTCTGGGGATAAAGTAGTCCTACTCTGATCCATAACTCTCTAACACTTTATAGCTTATTCTTCCTTAATTTCCTTCAATAATATTTGTAGTTTTCAGTGTACAAGTCGTATGCTTTTTTTTATCAAATTTATTCCTAAGTATTTAAATTTTCCTAATTTCCTTTTCACATTGTTCATTACAAGTGTATAGAAATACACCTGATTTATTTTTTTTTAAAGATTTTTTTTATTTTATTATTTGAGAGAGAGAGAGAGCCTGAGCGGGGAGGAAAGAAGCAAGTTCCCTGCTGAGCAAGGAGCCAGATGCAGGGCTCAATCCCAGGACCCTGGGATCACGACCTGAGCTGAAGGCAGACACTTAACTGACTGAGCCACCCAAGCACCCCAAAATACACCTGATTTTTGTGCATTAATCTTGTATCCTTTAACCTTGCTGAACTCATTTATTTGTTGTAATTTTTTTGCAAATTTCTCAGGATTTTCCATACACAAGATCATGTTACCTGCAAATAGAGACAGTTTTCCTTATTTCTTTAAACTGGGTGCCATTTATTTCTTTTTCTTGTCTAACTGCCCTGATTAGAATCTCCACTGCAGTGTGGAAGTGGCAAAAGTGGACATCCTTGTCTTGTTCATGATCTTAGAGAGATACTGTTCAGTCTTTCATCACTAAGTATGATGTTAACTGTGAGTTTTTTTGTAGATAACCTTCATTAGGTTGGAGAAATTCTCTTCTCCTAGTTCATTGACTTTTATCATGAGAAGGTACTGTATTTTACCAAATGTTTTTTTCTTTGTTTATTGAGATGACAACATGATTTTTTGTTTTTTATTCTTTTACATTCATTGTATTCCTGTGTTCCTAAATCCCATTTAGCCGTGGTTTATGATCCTTTTTATATGCTTCTAGAATCAGTTTGCTAGTATTTTGTTGAGTATTTGTACAGCTATATTCATAAGAGATACTGGTCCATAGATTTCATTTCTTATGATGTTGCTAATGTTGATAATTGTGGTAATACTGGACTTACGGACTGAATTGGGAAGTGTTCCTTTCACTTCGATTTTTTGGAAGAGTTTGTAAAGGATTGATGTTAATTCTTCTTTAAATGTTTCATAGAGTTTACCCCCTCTTGAAGCCATTTGATCCCAGGGTTATTTTTGTAGGAGGTTTTGATTATTGATTTAATCTTGTTATTTGTTATAAGTCTTCTAAGGCTTTCTGTTTCTTTTTAATGGGTTTCAGAATTTCTGCAGCACCCATGGGAATATCCCCTCTTTTATTTCTGATTTTAGTAATTTGAGTTCTCTCTCTTCTTTTCTTGGTCAGTCTCCCTAAAGATTTGTTATTGTTGGTGTTCTTTCAAGAAACCAACATTTGCTTTTGTTGATTTCCTATATTGGTTTTCTGTTCTCTGTTTAATTAATTTCTGTTATAGTCCTTATTATTTCCTTCTTTCTCTGGGTTTAGTTTGCTATTTTTCCGTTTTATTTAGGTGGAATGTTAGGTTATTGGATTGAGAGCTTCATTTTTAATAGGCATTTGCAACTATAAAGTTCCCTAAAAACAACTGCGTTAGCTACATCTCATAATTTTTGGTATTGTGTCTTTGTTTTCATTCATCTCAAAGAATTTTCTCATTACATTTGTGATTTCCTATTTGACCCATTGGTTGTTTAAGAGCATATTGTTTTATTTCCACATATTTTTGCATTTCCCAAATTTCTTCTGTTACTGATTTCCAGTTCATTCCATTGTGGTCAAAGAACATTGTATGATTATACTTTTTTAAAACTCATTGA